GGGAGGTGTGAGTGGATCTGTGGGGGGGGGTCCTGGACGCCCTGAGGGGAGCTGTGCAGGCAGGGGTCCCGGCTATGAGGGGAGCTGCAGCCGGGCCCTGCTCTGTGCCTGTCCTCTAGTCAGCTGCTTTCTCGCCAGGCTGCTCAGGGTGCTGAGGGCTAGCCACATCCTTGGTGCTGATGGAGGAGAGCTAAGCCAGGGTGGGTTGTTTCTGTGGAGGGTCTTCCTAGCTATTTGTCTTTATGAGTTTTAAAATGCTGGATGAGCCAACAGCCGGTTGTGCACTTTCCTGTGGTCCAGCAAGCAGAGACATGAGAACCTGTGAGTTCTTATCCACTCGTGGACCTGCTGAGTTGCTTTCCTTGCCCTCCTGCCTGTGTGTGCCCCGTGAGCTCCCATTGCCTTTGGTATACGGTGAGCCAAAGCAGGGAGATTCGAGTAGAGCGGGAGAAATGGTGCTGGAAGGGAGCTGCGTGTTGCTTGCATTAGGTCTGTGAGATCTCTTTGTTTCTCTATTCTCTGGCCTCTCTTTGCAGTAAGTTATAAGGAACTGGAGTACAAGGCAACTGCAGTCTACAAAACCAGAAATGCGCAACTGAAGGGTTAGAAAAGAGTTTTTGTAGGGGCTTAACTGAGTCCCTGGTGCTATAATTATTTTTGAAGGTTTATTAGATATGTGAAAGTCCTAGACTGAAAAACTGGGATGTACTTATATGTTTGAAAGTCAGGGTTTCATATTTTCATGTTTTCTTTCCATTTTAGGCCACATCTAGACTCCTGGTGAACTACCAAGAACCTTATCGCTCCCAGATTTTAGATTATCTGTTCAAGGTAAAGTCGGTTTCACTGCTACAATAATGTATAACTTCATGCAGAATTTCTTATTGTGTAATGTTGGAACTCCTATTTGATTTTTATCAGAACCTTAAATTTTAGCTGTTGTTTTTGACAACCAGCATGTTGTTCAGGAACCTATTTCTTCAAATTATTACGAAAATCCCTTTTATGTTTTCACAGTATGTTTTAAAAAATGTTTTCAATGTATTTCTATAATCCATGTGGGCTTCATGAGGGTTAAATCAGTTTTGTGGCTAAAATGAGGGGTTTAGTTGTTCATAGCGATTGCAGGAAGTAGGTCTTTGAGATAGTTTTGATTTTTTTTGGAGTATAGATAGATTCACATAATGTGAACACAACTGTGCAGAGTGCATCTTTTCAATAGCATGTCTATTCCAAACTAGTCTCAAGTATAAGTGCAGTCACTCTAGAAGGTGTGTGAATGTTATTGGTTTGTAAGGTGCTTTAGTTAGCAAGCGTAAGCTGTGGAGTTACCCAACTTAATATATGGTAAGATTATTGCACTGGACAGTAATAATTTGTTTTGCTTTTGGCACTGTAAATTACTCTGCTGGAAGTGGATGCCAGGTCACTTTCAAGTAGTGTAATCCAGATGGCTGGAGGGGAAAAATTTACTGTGTAGTTTAAAGAATTGGTTTTAAAGGATAGAATAAGGCATAATGTGTGACTGGGGGATCAAAACCTATGTTTTTTTGAGACCTAAGCTGTGTGTTACAAATATGAGTTTTCTGAAGGAATCAATAGGCATGCGGCAAAAGAAAATCTAGCTGAGAGATCATGATTTTCAAAGAATTTCTGACATGTTCTTTCGCCAAAACTACTTAAGCTGTCATGAGATACCTTGCCTCGTTCTCCTTGTCTTTTAATGTCAGTCAGCTTTCATGGGGATGGGAGAGCAAATGTGTTAGAATTTTAAAATCAGAAATGTCAGGAAGAGAAATAGTAAATTGGGAATATTTGCTTCTTATTTGAAAACAAATAAAAAATTCCAGAACTTGTAAGTCAAGCAAGCTATCATCTATGCAGCATATTTTTAAATCAAACTGCATTCTTACATCTTAAAACTTTTTTTTGGACGCCAAAATTATACTTGGGTAATTCCATACAGGAGGCCAGCTATGAGCTAGTGGTTATTAAAATAATGATTAGTTGTAACTTCTGGCTTGTGCAACTCTTAAGCCACTAATGGCTGGAAGAGCATACTAGGAGCAGGATTGCCTGTATGAGCCTGAATTTTATATTCTGCTCCACCCATCAGATGCCAGGGGAAGAGGACAGTGGGCTACGTGGCCATTTGTTTTTCAGTGTGGTGGTTTTTTTTTCTCTCTTGCCTTTCCGCCTGTAGTTAGCAGATTATTTCTCACCTGTATGTATGCTCATTCACATAAGCAGTGTAACCCTTTACACCAAAGAATAAATTATCTACAGAAATATTAACTTCAATAATTTGATTTTAAAAGAAAACAAACTTCACTTCTAATAATAATAAAAATACTATTGTGTTCCTCATATAGTCCATGTTCTACTTTAAGAATGCTTCAGTATTTTCTTGAGCATAACCAATTTAAATTCTGCACAGCTGGGGAGAAGTGTCCTTAATGGTGCAAGAGTCAGTGAAAGTGACTAAAGATAAGTGTACTATTTATCTTGCTCAATTTCCTTTTGAATTTTGTATAATCTCTCATTGCATCTGTAACGGGTGTTTAAAAAAAAGTATTGAATTTTTAGCATCCTCAAAATTGTACACTTATTTATTGCATTCTTCTTGTTAACAGCAGGATTCTGTTTGTTCTGCTCTCTTTTTCTAGCCAAATTTTGGTGCTTCTTTACATATCCTCAAAGTAGAGATTGGAGGTGATGGACAATCAACAGGTATGGATTTTGTGTGAGCAGGGTTTAACTTCTTGTTGCAGTGATGCCATAAGTAACGTCCTGCACGTGTCACTCCAGCTGAAGCATGGAGATGCATTCTGTAGTTGTACTGAAGCTGCAGAAAAACATATACAATGTGTGCTAACTAGTAGAAGAGAAATTCACACTAACATTCTGGAGACAGTTCTCACTATCATATTGTTAATAGGTTGCATTCTAGACCAAATAAGTTCTTCCCCCCCCCTCCCCCCCAAACACCAGTTTTGCAATACAAACTGTGAAACTCTTGTAGGACTAGGTAGTTTATGTCTTAAAAGCATGAAAATGTGAAGACGGCTGGTCAGAAGCAATTATGTTTCTTTGGTTTAATGATCTGCTACATTTCACTGGAGTGGTGTTGTCTGACAGTAGACACTATTTTTTTTTTTTTTTTGCCTGGCCACAATTGCAAATGGAAATGTCTTGGTGTAATTTGCATAGGCTACTATATTTTCGTATAGGAAAAACTGTTTAGCAACTGCTTGTGATTGGAAGCTGAGAAGCAGTAACTAGACTACAGTTCATATCTTCCCCCCCCACCCGAAGTAAATCTTGGCCACATCAGGAGTAGACTTAAAGCAAACTCAGTTAATAAATAGAAAGCATAGCATCTGTCTTTGTGGCATTTTATATATATTTTTTAAATGTCTGTGTAATTAGCTATTGTTTTTCATTCTTTGGCTTACTTTCCTTAAGAAAAATTAACATGGTGAAAGTTATTATACTGGCTTTAAGAGCTCAGTATTTGGTCAATAAATTGCTGGTTAGAGGAGAATGGAGTCGTCTTCATGCATGCACAGACCTTATCTTCAAACAGTCTTGCTGCTGTCTAAGGACAATGTTACATATTTGTGTGACGGCTTTCCAGATTTTAGAAGGAGAACAATAAGTTGCGTATAGACTAGACTGCAGCTCTTATTCTGACCACAGAGGTGTGATCAGGAGTCTGTTTGAAGTATGATCAGGAGTCTAAGTTTGGAATCTAATTGTTGTTCTATGACTCTGAGAAACAGAACTTCCAAATAGTGAAGTGTTAGTAAGGTGAAAAAAACCCAAACAGTCCTATTTTCTGTAATGAAATATGCTGTTTCAGCAGGCTTCATTAAAAAAAAAAAGTCTCATCAGAAGAGATCTCTGGAACAATTAGGCATATAGTTTAACATAAGTAATTGTTGCAGTTGTGTGCACAAGTTATTAATTGACTTTTGTGTGTAATGACTTCTGGTGCAACACTGATTCTTTTGCACCTTTCTAGTTTGTTTACCTTTGCCTGAGGGAATTCAGTGCATAGCCTTCAATTCCAAAAACTCTTCCTGCAGTCACGGAACACCATGGAAATTATAAACTAGATCTTTTACTATAAAAATAAAAAAAATCTCTTCCCTGTCACTCAAAAACTTCATGGCAGTTCCTTTCTTTTCTCTCCCTGGACACAGAAGAAAAAGAAAATAATCTTCTTTTGTTTGCTTTTTGATTTAGATATAACCTACTTCTACAAATGTTTGTTGTTTTTTTTTTTTTTTTTCCTCTCCTGATCTTAATTCTGTAACTTTCCTAGTGGTTGCTGGGACCAAGATAATAATGAATATAGTATTATCATAGTTAGGAATAGAAAAAGCCCAATAGTTAATCACATTCTGATGTTAAAAGCAGGCATAGTCCCTTAAAAATAAAAAATAGTAAATTTATGCTAAGTTAATATGCTATGAATGAAGGGTGGCAAGTCTTGTGTGTTCCTTGTCACTACTCATTTTGCTTTGAAGTACATACCAAAGAATGTGTGAACCATGTTGGAGATATGCGCTTGCATACTATGGCAGTGAGCAATACAGTAAACTTTATAATGTGTAACAGTTCATGACACAGAAGATAATTGTGAGCTACCTGTCTCTTTCCTTCCTAGATGGTACTGAACCCTCCCATATGCACTATGAAAATGATGAGAACTACTTCCGGGGCTATGAATGGTGGCTGATGAAAGAAGCTAAAAAGAGGAACCCCAAAATTAAACTGATTGGTAAATTGCTTCAAGCGTTACAATTTAAGTGCTTTTTTTCCCCCCTAACTAAATTACATATCTGATGCTTAATTAGCATATTAATTTTAATGGGCAGGTGTTTTGATGTTGCAGTAGACAAAGTAGAATCTCTAATATTTGGTAAGCTTGCTTTGGTGCTTCACTTAAACTTATTGTGTTTTACTTTGTTACAGTATTGTAACAAGTAGCATCACAGGAATGTGTGTAACAAGTAGCATAGGGTAAGAAATGACTCTAATCATTTGCTTGTATCAAGTAACATTAATGCTTAGACTGTAGCACAGCAATGAACATAAATGATTTATCATGAGAGCTGAATTTCTATATAATAGAGTAAAAAATTGGGAGGGATAAAGTAAACTTACAGGAAGTATAAATCTGTGAATTTTACACACACTAAATTCAATTATATGTTCTTATTACAAACTCATCACCCCCTCTCTGCTATGGTGGTTTGTCTTCTGATTTGTCTTATGTATGTAGTTGAGTTGTAAGAGGACTTCCCTGCCTCCCTGTTTTGATCATGGGTGGTGTGTGTGCTGTGATAGTACAAATGTGGAACCCTAGATTTTAGTTGAAAGAGTTTACAAAATGTATTTTACGTGAAACAAGGTAAGAAATCTATCTGTTAAAAGTGTCTAATACTGCCTCTTCCATGGATCAGGCTTTGCCATATTCAGCCACAAGGTATGACTTGGTGCAGGATTTGCTAGTCAGGTTCCGTTAGACAAGCACTGTGACAAGCAGTAAGCTTACCATCTATAACTAATTATGATTATTAATGACCTCCCTCTTCCCTCAGATCAAGCTCTCAACACAGGAAGGAGGGTTTGCCCTGACTTAGCCTATAGTGTCTTATACAAAGTCAGCTGAAAATTTAGCTGGATCTGATTAGGTTAATTTGTTGTTCTTACTACAAGATCCAGTAAACAGCTGAGACTCAGAAATGCTTTTTCACAATCCCAATCTTTCTTCCTCTATTATGATCAGATCATCACTTCTTCTGAAATTCATATTCAGGAGATTAACAATTTCTGGTGTTCAGTATTGGTCCTTTGTCTGTAACTTTGTAAATTCTTATCCTAAAATCTTTGGAACTTTAAACCTGTTAGAGCTAATACCACGCAATTGAAAGATTGTATGTAGTCAGTTGTTCTCTAGTAATGAAGGTTTTCTAGCTTAAAAAAAAAAAAACAGTGGCTATTAATATGTTTGATCACAATTTATATTAGAGCATACTCTCCAGTTAAATAAGTTATGCTTCATTGTCTTCACTGGAACTATGTGAATTTGAAGTGCATATCTGCTCCTTCATTTTAGGTAGAACAAATTACAGCTTGCTATTGAAGCTTATTGAGTAATGTAGATCAACCACTTATCTTATTCCTTTGTTTTTCTTCTCTCTTTCCAGGATTACCTTGGACATTTCCAGCATGGATAGGCAAGGGCGAAAACTGGCCCTATGACTATCCAGATGTCACTGCTTACTATATTGTTTCTTGGATATTAGGAGCTAAACAGTATCATGATTTGGACATTGATTATATTGGGGTCAGTAAAGCAAAATCTCCTGTATATTTTATCTATCTTCATTCCTAAGATCTTGGTCTTGTCTCTCTGTTGATTACTGGAGGAGGGGGATGGGAAGAGAAATTGTTTTGTAACTGCAGTTTTGGCTTTTTCTGTTGCAAGGGGAAAAGCAGAAGTTATGTTAGTTTACAGTCTTTCTGCAATAATGGCCATTAAAGCAGAACCAGTGTAAAATGGCTAGTCTCCTGCCTTCCCAATTCTGGAACAAAGTTACCAGAGAATTTGGGAATTCTGAAATCTGTTTAAGTCTTGGGCTTGTCATTTTCTGCCTTGCTTGTTCTGCTTGGGTTTCAGCAGTTACCAGCTAACAAAAAGCATTAGTGAAGACGGAGTTTGTGAAAGTCAGCTAACATGACTTCTTGGCATAAAATATGGTCGCTGTTTTGTGGAAGGGCAATCCTCTACAACTTCTTCCATTTTTTCTGACATAATTTATAGTAGATAAAGGGGCATGTGTTACAGTGCAATATATGGAAGTAGTGAATGAATGTCTGAGAAAAATGTCATAATTTGGAGATGAGAGAGAGAAGCAGGCAATCTGGAAGAACACTTTTCATTATTTGACTGAGATTCAACTTCTTAATTTTTTCTTCTGATTGAGAGAATGTGTGGCTAGGATTCCTCTAAAATCAGTTCTATACTTACTGAAACACTTATTTTGGACTTTAAAGTGTTTTGATATGAGACAGTTGTTTAGCTGCAGAAGAGCTGAAAATCACTTCAGCAGTCCAGAGCAAAGCTTCTGAAACTATGGTTCCCATCCTTCAAAGGAAGTCTGACCTTTCTGCTGTAATGTGGGAAGGTATAGCTGATGTATATCTCCTCTGGAATGCATCCCCCTTGATGTTACTGACTTATTTCAGCTGTGTCAGTCTTGCACTTTGGGTAACACAGTGATGCTTCAGCAATTCAACTGGGGAGACAGGGAGAACAACTGCTGTTAAATTTTCTCCTTGCTGTGCTCTTAGGGTAGAAGGTAAGTTCTGCACTTCACATATTTGAGTAATGTCTGGCTTCTGTGTTGTTACTTCACAGTGATTGGCCTTCTGAATTCTATACGTCTAAAAAAAGGGAATTTCTGCTTCTACAGGCAATGTGTTGACCTTGCATATTGTCTGATTTCTTTGTGGGTATAATCTGAAATACAGGAAAGCAGTGAGGTCTGTGAAGGCTCAAACTGTCAAAACAATTTTAATGGTGTTCTGATTCTACATTGTTAGCCTTTACTGCTCTTTTGGTTTATGATGAAATGAGCCTTTCAGTAAGTAACTTTTTGATTGGCTCATTTCTGAAGTCGCATATTAGCACTTATGGGAAGATCTAGAAATATCAAAATCAAATGAACATATCCCACCTGCAAGAAACTGCTTGTACATGGTTGGGTAATCTACACCTACAGGGGGATACTTTCACCTTTACTGGTGAATGTCAGTCACAGTGTTCATGTTGTGGTTAGAAAAAAAGAAAGCAAGAAGGTTTCTGACTATGCATTTTATTGGCCAGGGTATTTGGTAGAAAAGAAGACCAAAATCCATACAAGATGGAAAATCCAGAGTAACAGAAATGAGATGATTTTGTGTCTGTTTACTTAAACTATGCTGGATCTCTCTTGTGTTCAAGTATTGATGTAGTCCTGTGTAAATTAGAAAGAACTGTAAGTGTCATTGAATAACCCCCTGTAGGCAGTTGTTCGACAGGTAACTTATTCTAGCTCTCCTATGTCAGTGTATGGCAACAGGGCCCATTTATTAGCACCACACCTTGAAGCCTCAACAAACTGTAGACCCTTTGGTAATAATGTCATGTGTAACACTGCTACCATTGTAGAGCTCAAGCAGCTCTGGAGTTCTTTTCAGCAGGGTGGCAATCAGTAGACCTTAGAGAGAGATAAACAAGCAGCTATTTTGAACTTTCATGCAGAATTTTCCCCTGAAGAGCTGATAACAAAACCAGCCAGAGCACTTTCCTCTAGCAAACTGAAACCATGGAGTTCATTAATGGATTGTATAATCTTAGATATACATAAATAAAATCTTTCATTATGCATTGACATATCCCGATTTTTCTAAATGGCTTTTTACTTTTCCTTTATAGATATGGAATGAAAGGGCATTTAGTAGCAAATATATTAAGGTATGTATTTTTTCTTATTTCTCTGAAGTGAAATGTTTGTTATCATATGTAAACAATCAGGTTTTCTGAATTTGCCTAGAAAAGGGACCTTAATCCTGCCGCTACTTCACTTACTGAACTCTGTTTCTTGTAGTTGCAGGCATGGAATGCTAACAGGATCAGATCTCTAGATCTTTTTTTTGTGTGTGTCTGAAACTGTTATTTTGAAATTTAAGTGTGTCAGTGTATGCTAAGTGTTTAGGACCTCTACATTTTAAGGGAAGCTCCAGTAAATGCTACTGAAATCATACAAATTCATCATCTTTGTACTGGCATGGATATAGTTATAAGTCCAAGATCTAGAATTACTTAAAATTCTGTAGCAAAGTTCCAGTGAATATAATGCCCTTAAATTATTGCTATATAACTCCAGGTTCTTATTTTATGGAAAACATAATAAAGGTGCTGTATTTTCAGCTGTGCAAAATTCAGTACCTTCTGTTCTAAAAGAGTTGGAGGAACACAGTATTTCACATAACCAACCTTGAGATATCTCTAATATCTCTCACTGCTGCCTGCCCCTGCTGCCCCACTGCCCTTTGAAAACTCACTTCTGTTTGTTATGTTATGTTGAAGTGGAATCTTAAGTACAAGCTTCTGTTCATTTTCATAAGTTCACTTCCTTGTTCCTGCTTCAAGGCTAAGAAGCAATGGCATTACCTCTTCTTAAAAGGAAATAAGAGTTAAATTGAGTGTGTAGAAAAACTGCTGAGGTTTTTTTTTTTTTTCAGAACTCAGCAAGGATTGGATCCCATCTGCTTAAAATTAGTCAATTAGTGGCTATTAGAAAAGTTTCAGTTCTTACAGTTTGTGTACACTGGATGAGGTTAGTCACATCATTTGTCCTTGACAACTTCTGTAGTTATTTTGTTCAATGATTAGTTTTAGTAGAATGATACAGGAAATGGCATACAACAGTTAAACTTGACATTGCAATAAGAGCAAAAAAGTATCTTTAAGTATCTTTCATGAGGCTGGCATATATAAAATTCTGCCTACTCCTGAAAACTGAGAATGTTCTCCTATAAAACGTTTCCATTTAAAATTATATTTCATAGAATCATAGAATCGTTAACGTTGGAAACGACCCTTAAGATCATCGAGTCCAACTGTTAACCTGTCATTGCCAAGTCCACCACTAAACCATGTCCTCAAGCACCACGTCTACCTGTCTTTTAAATACCTCCAGAGATGGAGACTCAACCACTTCCCTGGGCAGCCTGTTCCAATGCCTGACTGCCCTTTCGGTGAAGAAGTTTTTCCTAATATCCAACCTAAACCTCCCCTGGCACAGCCTGAGGCCGTTTCCTCTCGTCCTATTGCTTATTACTAGGGCGAAGAGACCAACTCCCACCTCGCTACAACCTCCTTGCAGGTAGTTGTAGAGAGCAATAAGGTCTCCCCTCGGCCTCCTCTTCTCCAAACTAAACAACCCCAGCTCCCTCAGCCGGTCCTCGTAAAGCTTGTTCTCTAGACCCTTCCCTAGCTTCATTGTCCTTCTTTGGACACACGCTAGTACTTTGAATGTCCTTCTTGGAGTGAGGGGCCCAAAACGGAACACAGTACTCGAGGTGCGGCCTCACCAGTGCCGAGTACAGGGGCGCTATCACCTCCCTGGTCCTGCTGGCCACACTATTTCTGATACAAGCCAGGATGCCATTGGCCCTCTTGGCCACCTGAGCACACTGCTGGCTCATGTTCAGGAGGCTGTCAACCAACACCCCCAGGTCCTTTTC